AGCTTCCTCAGCACGTCCCTCCCCACCCCCAGCCATGCCCCCCCTGCAGCCAGCACCCTGCACCCCAGCCCCCCTCACCTCTGCCGTCCTGTCTGTCACTCCTTTTGCTCCCCACTGCCTTCCCCAGTAGCATGTGGGTTCCTTGGGGCACAAGCTGTCCCTTTGTCACCAGCACTGTGCTGGTTGTACAAACAAAGAGCCTAATATACAGCAGCTGACAGCACTTTGCCACCAAAGAGATGAATGGACTAGAGTGAATCAGAAGCACAAAGAGCTGCAGTTCAGGGTAGCAGGAACCAACTGAAGCAGAAGGAGTGACAGTATTAAAAACATGACGGTGTGGAGCAGGGAAAAAGATGGAAGAGACATCAATTAAGCTTGGCAATACTAAAGACAAGGGAGGAGTTTCATGCTGTTAAAAGTGGGGTGGCTGGGACATGCTGCTGCATGCCCTGATGGGAACAGGAGAGCAGCAGCGACACGCGCAGCAGCAGCAGCCCCTTGCAGGCACCTGGGACTACCCTCCACACCACAGACAGGCTGGTGACCCCCATGGCACAGGGCACCACTGAGCAGATATCTCTACCATAGCCTGAACATGCAGAATTCACAACTGTGCCAAAGGGGAAAAAAATACCGCAGGTGTAATTGATGCCTCAGGGTAGTTTACCCAGGAGCACATGAGGGTACAGTGAGATTTCCTGCACTTCTTTTGTCAAAGTTGTAATGTAAGAGTGGGCTGAGGAGTGCAAGGACAACAGCATGTGTGTGGCAGGCCCAAACCCTGGCTCTGCAGCAGCCCCCGGGGCTGAAGACACAGCCCTCCCACTGCCTGAGGCTCTGACCTTGCCCAGAAGAACAGCAGTGCCTCTTCCTTGACTCACCTGCAGCTCTGAGGCCTCATTCACTACAATGAACAGGATTTTCCAATGACACAGAAGACTGAGAGGGGCAGTTTTAATAAAACGTGGGCACTAACATATCCATGTGAAAAGCATTCCTTGAGAGCCAGCTCATGAGGTAAGAAATCAAAACTGCCAAAAAAAGAAACCAAACAAGCTGAGGTTCCCTCAGCAGCACAGAGAAGAGCATAATCACACCCTGACTCTGCTTCAGTCTAGACAGTAAGTGCCTGTATTCAAAAGCAATCTTGTGGAGTTTGCTTGTTCCATAACATGACTTGAACACAAAATATTATGTTTTCCAGGATGCTGACCCTGTCTTACTCCACAGAGTATTGCCTGCCAATGTTTTCTACAAACGTCTACCTAGAAATGGAAACCTCCCAGCATCGTCCAGACTGGAGCCGGTATTAGAGTCCAACTCTTCAGGCTTAATGGTGGACACAGGCTTCTCCCAGATCCACCCTAGGTCTGGTGAAAACAAATATCCAGCAACAGCTCATGCGGAGGCTCCAGCAGGAAGAGCAGACTGCAGGGAGAGCTGGGCTCCGACTGTGATCCCTAGTGAGTCATCGCTCCTGATAGCCAAGCTCCATCCCCTCTCACCTCAAGGATGGGTGATCCCTGCCTGTCAAAGGGAGGGAGGGCTCCTCCACAACTGAGCAAGCACTGGGACTTCACACTGGAGGAAGGTTAGGGCTGCGAGTTGCAGGACTCCTGTCTCCGCCCAGCAGCAGACCAGCAGCCAGAGTGGAAGTATGAAGCTGAAGCGCAGCAGCAAACTCACACAAGTGAGAACACGCTGTCTCTGTCTCACTGCCTGATCCTGCACAAACTAGGTAACGTGTTCCTGGCACCCGACTGCAGCCTGTGCAATGCCAAGCTCTGGGCCTGACACAACAACATTGTGCAGCTCGGCAGAGAGTGGATTTCCAGAGGGTTAATCACTCCCCCCAACTAGCCTGCATGCAAGCTCAGCACACATTAACATTACCTCCATGGAAGACTGCCTGTCCCACTTTGCTTTAGCTCTGGAGTGTGTCTCTTCTAGCGTGGGCTGATGAAAAGAGGAACCAGAATGAAACCACGGCTATTAACTCTGTTACAATACTGTTTTGAGACGTTCAGCATAGACTTGATCACGCCACAGAAGCCAAGAGAAGGCATTTGCACGCTGACTCAAACAACTTCTTCTATTGCTTCTCTCTTTTTTGCAGCTGATATCAGGCAGGGTAAGGAGTCTTAAACAATGGGCTCAGAGGCACCAAATTATTGTGAGGTATTTGCTCAAAGTACTATCACTTAGATGAAAGGAGAATTACTGAAGTTTGTGATATAAATGCCATTTTTACATATTTTTGATCATAAGTGTGAGCAAATGATTAATTTCTATACCTTAAAAACAGGAGTTTCCTCTTCTCTGTTTTTACCAAAAGACACAGAAGTAAGGATTTCAAGCACTTAAGAGCCAAGGCAGCAGAATGAAGAGACCATTTTAGGCTCATCACAGAAAGTATTAATAGCCTCAGTAAAAGGAGAGACCCAAAGGGTCTACAGACAGCTAATCCACTGGTATACCCAAAGTGCTCATAAGATCATGAGATAAAGAGCAGCTGTGGATGGATGACACAAAATTAGCAGAAAGAAAACCGAACTTCACCACTTGTTTCCCTCTAAATAAAACTTTTTAGCATCTCACTCAAGGGGCAGCACTGTTAAAACCAGCTACAGCCAGCAATGCAGCAGTATCTGAGAATGTAATGCACCCCCAAACAGACCGAAAATGCAGTGCAGGCTTCCCCAGGCACAAGAGGGACAAGCAGATTCTTGTGCAGTAGATGTCTCAGTCTCTTAAAAACCTTAGAGCCTGCCTAACAGTAGACCATGAAGAAGTCAGATTCCCAGAAACAAACAAAAGCCAAGTTTGTTGCAGAATCAATAAATAAGTTAACAAAAAATATTAAGCAAATACTGCCAGTTTGTTGTTTTTTTGTTTTTTTTTTTCCAAACTGAAGAATGCCATGCATTTCACCTATGCCTTTTCATACCTCTTTTCACACA